GGGGCCTTTGCCACTGGGGTGGACGCAGGTCGCCTTGAGACAGGCCTGCCTGGCACTCGGGCCCGGATCCAAGCCCCTGTGCCCACCATACCAGTGGACTCCAGCTCCCTGCCCCCGACCTGGCCCGGCGCCCCCCCCCGCAGCCTGACTGGTTGTCTGCCCTAGGCCAGCTAGAGGGGCTTGAGCCTCAGTGAGCATGGTCCCGTGACAAAGGCCCAGGTCATACCTACCCTGACCCTTTCCCCAACAACAGCTCTTTAGGGTGGCAGCACTAGGCACTATCCCAGCCGCTTATGGTGCCACCAGGTAAATCCCCAGGGGAGCAGAGAACAGCATGGAGTTGGGTTTGTGTCTGGGGAGAGAGGCCCTGGAGCCACACTGTGCTTCGCTGGCCTCGCCTCCATGCTGGCCTTTCCAATACCTGGTGGGCTGGGGCTGCCCTGGCAGGCACTCAGGAAGGAAGGTGGTGTGCGAGGGCCAGGGGAGACAGGAAGGGCTGCTTCCCTGGGAACTCCGGTGTCCCCTCTGCTTCTAGGAACCCGCCTGCCTTCCTGGGGGAGACCTCTGGGCCAGGCCATGGACCCTATGCTGCTAAGGGCGAGTCCCTTCCCCGGGCTCTGCCCGCTACACCCTCTCCTCAGAATGGTCGGACCCTCCTGCACACCCCAAGCCAGGGCAAAGCAGGTGTGCGGAGTCTGGAAGCTGAGAAAACAGCCATTCCTTCAGCAGCTCCCGCAGTCCATCAGGGAAGCCTCGGGGTAAGGGGCTGAGGCCTCTGCGTAGAGGAGCCTACAGGTCAGGGGACAGTTCACAGGCCTGGATTAGGGTCTGGTCTGAGCTCTGTGACCTCAGGCAGGCCTCCACACTTCCTCTGGGTTTCTTTGATAGTGAATTAGCAGTTGGACTAAGGGGTGGCTCGAGGCTCTGCTCAGTCTTCAGGACTCTTGGGTTCCCAGCCGCTCTTAGTAAGGACCGAGGGAGCTACCACAGATACAGGCAGGGAGCGCAGACAAGGAAGGGGCCTCCAGAACAGCCGGAGGAGGGTCAGGCTGCAGGGCCAGGCACAGAGGGACAGCTCACGCCCTGGAGAGGGGCCGAGGACAGTCTCGGCCCTGAACGGAACAGGCAGCTGGAAGCCAGCGTCAGATTGCGTGACAGGCCTGCAAGCAGGGAACAGCTGAGGGAGTCTGCGGTCCTCGCCCCTCCTCATTCTGCGTGCTCAGGGTGCCGGCAGGGCTGGGGGACCCAGGCCCTCACTCAGGCTGCTGTGCCACTCCCCAAAGACCACCTCTTCAGTGAGGCTGGAGAGACTGCCTAAAGAAAAAGCTGATGACGCTCAGCAGCGGTAGCCCTGGACTCTGCACTCTGAGGAGGCCACCCCCACCCCCATGGGACATGGGACATACCCTCCCTGCTCCCAAGGCTTCAGGCTAGGAAGGGTCTGCCCACAGGGAGGCTGAGTCCCTGGGGACAGGACTAACTGCCAGCACTGAGACCTCTACCCCTACCCTAGCCACGTCTTTGAACCTCACCCCGGGTTTGCCATTCATTCCTGGTGTCTCCACGGAAGCCCCTTGTCTTGGTCCCTCTTGGGAACCTAATGCTCTGACTTACTGGGGGTGTTGAGGGGGCAGCACACAGCCTCCAAGGACATGCTTCAGTGTCCCCTCTGTGGCCTTGTGTTTCCAGGTCTGGGTTAGGGTAACATACAGCTACTTCATGCAGCTAGAGGTCCGAACTCCAGGGCGCCCCTCAGCCTGCTCAGAAGCCTGGGTTGATCTCGTGGGACAGCGGGTGCCACAGAGTTACTGTGACAGGGAGGCCCCTCCGCTGCTCCCAGGGGAGTTGAAAGCAGCCACCAGAGCCCTGAACGCCACCTGCAGTCGGGCTCTCAGAGGGCTGGCCCCACGTTGTGGACCTTCGTTGAACTAATGTTGCCTGAGCTGTGGGGAGGGCGCCAAGGCTTGCGGCCCAGGGGAGAAGCAGCCATGGCCACCAAGGTGTTTGCAGGCAGAGCATCTTCAACAGCAAGGCAGGGAGGGGACAGGTGGAGCAGGGATACAGGGGGCCGCCTCCAGGCTCCTGATGTCACCTTGCCATCCCATAGGGAGGGGGACTGCCCGTGGTGCTGCCCCAGCAGCCTGGTGGGTAGTCAGCAACGCCTGTCGGGCTCAGCCCACTGGTCGCCTGTACCTTACGAGGGCCAGGCTCCCTCGTGAGGGGTCCATTTGGGTGAAGCATCGCTGGGTTTCCCCCACAATGAACGTGCATGGGGAGCACGGTCTATCACGAGGCTCCTGGACGGACCATTAGGAATGGGACAGGCCCACGGGGACCAGGTCCCCAAGGGCACGCTGAAGCCTGGGCTTGCAGGGGCCAGTGGAGCTACCGCACTGCACAGCTGCAGGAGCCTCGGGCATGCTGTGACTGCACGGCACCCCACCTGCGCTGCTGCACAGAGCAGTCGGGGAGGTGGTAGGGGCGGGCCATCAGCGGGCCGGCGATGAGACCGGCTCTCCTTCCCCAGGCACGGGGAGTGCCTGCAGGGTTCTGTGCCCCTGGCACTCAAAAACAGATGTCCTGCCAAGCTGAGGGCCCAGTAGAGATGCATCCCTGTTGTCCCCAGCCCTGCCCTAGAGAAAGGGCCAGGCTGCCTCCTCCTCCCTATCCCTGGACCCTGTTCCAGGCCCCAGCTGGCTTCCTGGCTGGCGGCTAGCCCTGGCTTTCACCCCAAAGGGAGCCACTCGTAAACAGGAAATGCTTCCCAATGCAATGCCTGCCCTGGGCGCTGTTGCCAGCCCACAGGCTGAAGGCCATATCCCAGCGGCAGTGTTGCCTGGTCCCGCCAGCTGCAGGGGAGGGGGGTGTTCATGGGGCTTCTCAATTCTTTGGGGCTGTTGGGGAGGGGCTCCTTGGCCTGAGGCAGGCAGGCCTCCTGGGGTTGAGCTCCACCAGCCTGTGGCCCTGCCCTCCTGTGTCTGGTGCTGCCTGCATCCCACCCCCCAGCCCCCCTACATGTGCAGAGACACTGACACTGAGCCCTTCTGCTCCCTCTCCCAGAGATAGTCTGAAGGCGGCCCCCAGGTCTCAGGCAGCAGACTCCCCCAGCATCGACTATGCAGAGCTGCTGCAGCACTTTGAGAAGGTCCAGAAGAAGCACCTGGAAGTGAGGCACCAGCGAAGTGGGCGCGGGGATCACCTGGACCGGAGAGTCGTCCTCTGACAGGCCTGGTGTGGAGGACGGCCCGAGGAGCGGGCCCACGGAGCGCCTGGGGTCTTCGGGCCCCTTCCCCACAGGGCCCAAGGGCCTGCCTCAGGGGCAGGGCTGGCCCTGCCACCAGCCTGGTGCTGGGGGAGGTGGAGGCTGTTCTGCCCACCCAGGCTCCTCTCACAGCCCGGGCCCCCGGCACTGTCCAGCATTCCGATGCAGCTGGCCTCCCGCCAGGGTGGGGCCGCCGCCTCAGACACCACCTGTCCTCTGGATAGGTCTCTTCCAATACCCTCTTGTAAGAGAGCCTGACCTCCCCAGCCCACCCGAGTGCTGGCCTCATGTGACGTGTGTGTGTGTGTACATGCCTGTAGGCACAGGGGCCAGCCAGCGCAGAGGTCCATGTGAATGATGCCTGCCCTGTCCCAATAAAGAGATGACAGAAAACCCTCAACCTGCACCCGCCTGCTCCTTCCCGTGGGCATCTGCCCCTGCCTGGTGCTGCAGCGGCCCCAGGACCTTACCCCCGGTGTCCTGGAGACCTGGGGCACTAGTGGCCCCAAGGAGGGCTGGCTGCTCTGGGAGAGTCTGGTCGCTCTACAGTGGACCAGTGTGGGCCCTGGGGACCCAGCTCTCACCCCTCGGACCTGCCCCTTCTTTGAGAGCACTGAGCACCGGCCTCCCTGGAGCCCTGAACCCCTCCCAGGCACCTAATCTGACTTCTCCATCCTGACTCCCCCAGAGAATTGGACATGTCCCCACTGGACAGATGAACTGAGCTCACCTCAGAAGTTTCTGAATGAAAGGGCCTTGCGCACTGTCCAGCTCTGCAGGTCACTGGGGATTGACAGCAAGGCCCAGACCAGGGCAAGGAGGGAGAGCGCTTCCCAGGTGCCCACCCCTTGATTTGGCTCAATGAGCCTCACTTCATGGCACCTGTAGGCCTGGGTCCACCCCCAAACTTTGGGAAGCCTCAGGTTGATCTAACAAGTCCTCAGTGGCTCTCAGCGCCCCTGGAGCTGGAGAGAATGAGCTTTTCTGCAGAGTCCCAGCGTCTCTAGGAGGGTGGGTTCCGCTGCTGGAGGCCCCTGGAGTCATTGTACTGGCTCTGGCCCACGTGTACACATGTTCGTCCACACACGTAGTGGGACGCGGCCCACTTCTGCCCCGCTGGTTTGACACGGTCCCCACGCAAGGGAGGAGGTTGCCTGAGGGCCAGAACACTGCTATGCGCAAAAGCCTGGCCTCAGGCACCCCATCCAGGTGGTATTGGCTCCGCTTGGAAAAGGAGCCAAAGAACTTTGGTCCGAACTTCGGTGCCTGGCTAGGAAGAAAGGCCCCACAGCGGGTGGCCCTCAGGACACCTTGTGCCCCTGCTGTGTGTGGTTTGGGCCTCCCACGGGATGCTCCCAGGGACCTCCGGCCCTCGCCGGTCTGCTGAAAGCGCGGGAAGCCCCCGGCCAGAGACCGAAGGCCGAAAGGCAGTGGTGAGCCCCTACCCGGGGGGCGGGTCGCACCCCCACGGGGGTAGCCGGCGGGCCCCGCCCCAGCGCCGCCCCGACCCGCGGTGGCGCCCGCGCCGCCGGCCCCGCTCGCCCGACCAGTCTGGCCGCGCTGGGTTCGGATTTCAAAGCTCTGGAGCCTGGCGGCGAATGGGCCTGCGCCCGCCCGGCGGTTCCCACAGCCCCTCCCGCCGCAACCCACCCCCCCACCCCGCCCCGCGTCCCCCCTTGCCGCGCCCACGTGACGCCCGCGCCGCGGCGGCTCCGGTTACCGCCGCCTCAGTCCCCGCGCCGAGGCTGCGCCGCCAGCTGCCCGCGCCGCGCCCCCCGCGCCGCCGCCAGCCCCGCCGCGACATGGCCTGCGCCGCCCTGCGGCGGCCCGCGACCCCGGAGCGCGGCGCGGCCGGCCGCTGAGAGCGGCCCCAAGGCGGCAGACCCGCCCGGGCCCCGGAGCAAGCTCCCGCCGCGGCCCGGCTCCCCCGGGCCGGCTCCCTGCACCCCGCCTGCACCCCGCCGCCGCCCGGCCCGAGGATGGAGACGGCGGAGAAGGAGTGCGGCGCCCTGGGCGGGCTCTTCCAAGCCATCGTCAACGACATGAAGGTAACGGGGTGTGCGAGCGCGGATGCGAGTCCCCTTGGGGGCGCGTGGCGGCGGGCAGCCGTGCCCTGCTGTGTCCGTGCGCCGCAGGGTCTGTGTGTCCTTGTCTGAGTGTGACGGACCTGCGTCTGCTGTGCGCCGGGGTCTCTGGGCGCCTATGTGGGGGTGTGGGTGCTCGTTTGTCGGGGTGTCCATGCGGTCCCGGGGGTCTGTGCTCGGGGTCGCCCGGATCGCAGCGCCCCCGTGGGTTCGCGAGCGGAGCCTGCGCACACCTGGGCTCTCAGCGCCTGAGACCCTCACACCATGAATGGGGTTTGGCTCCTGGAGCGATTCTACGGACCTTTAACAGGTCCGGGGTCTCTCTGGCTTCCGCCCCCTACCACCACCATGCCCCCCACACCCCAAGGCTGGCCTTGGTGCCCAGACAATGCTGTCATCACCAAAGCAGAGAAAAATAATAAAGCGGAGAACCATTAACTCTTTCCCCACCGGCCTTGGCCACTGCGCCGGACTCTGCGACTGCCGCGGCCGACTCACACCCCCCTCACACACACAGCAAGCCCCAGGAAGCCCCGGGACTCCAAGGTCTCCAGGCTGAGTGTCCCTGCGTCCCAAGGCCTCTGCCCTTACCTTGGGAGGAGGAGCGGAGAAGGTTGAGATGGGTAAAGAACCCAAGGGACGGCCTTCCCTGCCCTACTTCCATCCCAGGCCCCATCTCCAGCCCCTCCCCATCGTTGCCCAAGGTCGGCTGGAGCAGGCCCCCCATTCCTGGCCCACCACTGGCTCACCAGCTGGGGAAACTGAGGCCTGGGAATGGCTCAAGGTCATTTAGGTGACGGTTGGACGCTGTCCCTCACCTCACCCCTCATTGCTGATCTAGGAGGCCAGGGGCATCCTCTCCCCAAAGGGGCCGGGGTTTGGCAGGGCTGGCTCAGGCTGGCGAGGCCGAAAGGAGTCCTGCTTCAGTGACTGGGAGCGGGGGAGGGAGGGCAGTGTCAGGAACCTGCGTTCCTACCCCTCTCTTTTCAGGTGGAGAGAGAGCAAGGAAGAGATTTAGGTTCCCCACGGGAACTCCTGAGAGCCACCACCCTCCCAGCCTATCACACACGTCCAAGTACCCAACACACAATCCCACCGTGCCACCGCAGGCCCTGGAGGAAATGGCACTCACTAGGGTGCCGCCCGCCCCGCAGCGCCTAGGCTGGCCCTTCAGGGGGTGGCGACTGCAAGCTCCCCAGGGGCTCCTGTGGCTGCCAGGGAACAGCCCTAGGGAAGCTGCCGGGTCCCTGCCTCGCAGAAGAGGTCTGAAGACCCCTGGCCTGGGACTGTGGGTAGCCAGTGTAGAGGAGCCCCCATCTCCATCGGAGGTGCTCCCCCTAAGACCTTCATCCCTTGCAAGTCCAGCTCTGGGCCCTTCTGCTAACCCTCGGAAGTGCTGGCCTCTCAGCCCTCGACAGCGCCCCCTGCCCTGTGGACATCGCAGCCCTGGCACCAGGACCCCCTCCTGGGATGGGGCAGGCCAGACGGCCGCCCCCCAGGGCCAGACCCTCTGCCTGCAGTCAGCCTCTTCTCAAACGCTGCAGAGAGCAGCAGCTTTTGCCCAGAAAAGAGGCATGGGACTGCCTCCCTCCTTCTCCAGCATATTTGCAAGAAACTTCGGGATGAGACAGGAGGAAACGCTCGGATCAGATTGTCAAGAGATTCAGGCAGGATTTTCTGACCTGTGGAGGCCAAATGGGAGAGATTTCACCTGGGGCGCTGCCAAGGACAGATATTCCCCTGCCTATGACACATGCGTGGGTTCCAGCCAGGGACAGAGCAGGGGACTGGGCCACCTGGAGGCCTGTCACCTGGCTTTAGGGGGCAGCTTCTGGCTCCTCCACAGAGGACGGCCATGTCAAAGGAGCGAGCCTGCCTCACGAGGCTCCTCCACACCCTGCCCACAGGCCCCACAGCGGCCTGCCCCGGCCCTTCTCACTGCCCAGACCCTGGCCTGGGGGCAGGGGGAAGGGATCCCCAAGCTCTACCTAGAGCCGGGAGGCTCCGGAGGAGGGCATCCACTCAGGGGTGGGGAGGGGCTCTCAGGAATCCCCCTGCCTGCTGTGCCTTATTAACTCAGCTCAGATGCCCATGGGGTGCCAGGCTGCCCACTGAAGCACCAGGAGAGGCAGGGTCTTGCCCACAATGACACGGCTGGGCTCTGCCCCGCCCCCAGCTGCCAGGCAGCACCTCCAGCAGAGTGAGTGGGGTTCCACCCAGCACTGGCCCATTCAGAAACTGGGGTCAGAAGTTTTGCCTACCCGCTCAAGAGCGGGGGCTGTCACCCAGACGCAGGCTCCTGGCAGGCAGGCGGGGACCCTGCGTCCTCCGCTGCCCAGTGTTTACTGAGCACTTACTCGGTGCTGGCAATGCTGAGTGCTTTCCAGGCGGGGCCTCCTGGCATCTCTGTGCCGACCCAGGAGGGAGGCCCAGTTCCCATCCTGGTCTCTCAGGAGAGGAGCCTAAGGCCCAGAGATGGGTCCTGGGGCTGTAGCCTGGGTCACTCACCTGCACAGCCAACGGTAGGGCCACGGCCACGACCCAGACAGAGTCTCTGAGGGCCAGGGGCCCCAGCAGCCTCCTCATTGGTCTTACCTCAGCCACTTGGACACCTCTAGGGACAAGCATGTCACCTTCCCCCTCCAGAGTAGCCCGAGCCCATCGTGCTGGGGGCAGAGCTGGGTGTCTCTCCCCTCCCTGCAGTCCCCGCCCCTGCCCTTGATGCCCAGGCACTCACCTCCCTGCAGCCTCTACCCTGCCTGCAGCGACTGGTCAGTCAGGAGACCGGGCCCTGACGGCCGCACGACGGCCTTGGGCAAGTCTGACCCTAAGCTCTGAGCCTCCTGTCTGCGGGATGGGGTGCTGAGCATGCATTGCCCAGGGCTGCTGGAAGGATTCGATGCAGTCACACAGCGACAGGGCTCAGCGCGGTGCTGGGCCCACTGCAAGCGCTTGATCACCAGTAGCCATCGCTGTCACTGCTGAGAGCCCTCCAGGGCATTGGAGCCTGGCTGCCCGGCACGGGCCCAGGTGACAACTGAGGACACTCTCCTAGGGCAGTGGCTGCTCTGCCCCTCAAATTCTCATCTCTGGGGTCCTTTATGAATTACCAGTGGGGGGAGTCCACGGTCCCTAGAGACCAAGGGTCTCAGCCCACCTGCTGAGGAGGAACTGGGCCTGTCCTCCCATGCCCCACCGTGCCCCCTCCCCACGAGAGGGTGAGGCCAGGGAGGTCTGAGATGAGCGAGCCTGGCTGGGACAGGCCCCGGTCCCGCAGGGAGCAGGGACTGTCCTCGGCCCAGTTTTACCCGGGCCCTTGCTCTCTGCGACCACACAGAGGCTGCCATGGGGCCTGGGAAGGCTTCCTGGGGGCCGGGACAGCTGCCTCTGGGCCCCTGCACCCCCCAGCCTCACCACTCCTCCCTGCGGGTCGCAGCGAGGCTTCTGGTTGGAGGGGACGAGTTGGTGGGTGTGTGCCACCTTTCAGAGACCCCTGGGGGTACCAGGGTGCGGGTCAGCTCCTCAGGCTGCCAGCGGTGACCTCCCAGGCCCCTGTTCTCTGAGCTGTGCCCTCATGGAGACAGCCCACCCACAGCCTCCCCCTCCAGCTCCAGCCTGTGTGAACTTCTCAAATATTTGCTTTCCCTGGGCATTGGTTGGGCTGGGCTGGGAGGGACGGGGAAGGCGTTTCGGAGGCTCCCAGAAGCCGCCCTGCCTCCTTTCCACCCGTGCAGGCTGTCCGCAGCTGAAGAGGCCGCCTCAGAGCAGCCCAGGGTTCTGGCGGGCAGAGCCTGTCCCTGAGACCTGGGGGGCCGGCACCTCCTCCTTCCCCTTTTCCTTGGGGTCAGCCCTTTGGGACTGGGGCTTGGCTGGCCCAGAGGCTGCCCTTCAAGGGCTGAGGCCCCACCGAGCCCTAGGGCCAGGGCTGAGGTTTCTCCAGGACCCAGCAGCCATGGGAAGGCACATTAGCCAGAAAAGCCCCTTGATTAGACTGGACAGCTCGGTCGCCAGGAGCCCGGCCTCCCTACTGGGAAACCCCCTCCCATCTCAGAGCTTTGGGCCAGGCTGGGATAAAGGCCACACTGTGTCCCCAGGAGAGGAAGGGAGCCGGGGGTGGAAAAAGGTGGCTCTGTTGGCCACACAAGGCCCCATTCAGCCCAGGGCCTGGCTGTCCCGGGCAGGCTGGCCTGGCCCTGCGGCAGTCACACCCTTCCCAGGCCTGGGAGCCACCGCTGCTGGCCGGGGCAGGCCAGCCGGCCGGGCTGGCAGCCGCTCTCAGCGCACAGCGTGGGGGCCGCCCGAGGCCCCAGTTTAAGCCTGCAGTGCCTCGAGCCCTGTCACTGTACACGGTGCCTCTGCCCTGTGCCATGTGGGAAGCGACCTGAGCCATTTCCAGGGGAACATAGTGCCCCTCTCGCAGCTCAGCCCAAGTCCCCTGTCAGGTCCCTGGAGAGCCCCAAGGACACAGGATCTGCAATTTTTACTGTTTCTGTCTCCCTCGAGGGGGGATTTGACGGTAGACAGGGAGCCAGACTTCCTGACGGTCGGGGAGGAGGGATGAGCAAGGGCATCCGTTCCCAGGGCCAGGATTCCCTCATGTTCCACGCCTCTGTCCCGGGCCCTCTGGCCCCTAGAAGTCCCAGGAGCTTCCTTCTCCACAGGGCAGGGCTGCTCTCAGAAACTGCCCGGAGTTGGACGGAGGCACGTGGGGAGCCAGCCCGGTGGGGCCCTGCGGCCCTGTCGAGTCTCACTTCCTCTCCCATCTCCTTGGCAGAGCTCCTATCCCATCTGGGAGGACTTCAACTCCAAGGCCACGAAGCTGCATTCCCAACTGAGGTGAGACCGCTGAGGGCGCCCCCAAGGGGGGAGGGGACAGAGGCGGGGAGGATACCTCACCAGAGACCATCTCGCTGTCCGTCCCCCCAGGACCACTGTGCTGGCTGCTGTGGCCTTCTTGGACGCCTTCCAGAAAGTGGCTGACATGGCCACCAACACCCGAGGTGGGGAGGGGGCGCGGCTGGAGGCTGGGGCGGCCCCAGGCTAGGCTTGGAAGCTGGGAAGGCTGAGTGGAGTGTGAGCCAGGGAAAGGGCACCAGGCCCGACTCAGGGTCTTGAGTTGTGCTCCCCAATGGAAGGGGCTGGTTGTAGAGTGAGTGAGCCTCTCATCCCTAGAGGCATGCAAGCAGGAGTGGGTGGACGGTGACAGGGATGTCACAGGAGGCTTTCGTTCTTCTGTGGGGTGCTCATGTGACTCCTCAGCCACAGCTGTTCACACTTCTGTACAGTGAGTCTGATTATGGCTTCTTCCCACCCACCCCACCTGCCCCTCTGTGAGCACATGGGGGCAGGTGAGCCTTTATAATTGGCCTTGGCGTCTCCTTTGCTTTCTGGTCTGAGTAGCAGGGACCTGGGCCTCCTGTTCCTTCTGGTGGTGAGAACCAAGGCAACGGGCACATGCTGGCTCTCTCAGGCCTGCATCTGGGCACACCTGGAAGGGGCTCCCAGTCAGGTTGGGGGTGGTTTGGGCTGGCTGTTGGCCTGTCTTTGGTTCTGGCCTCTCCCAGCTGAGTGAAGGGCCCCTCGTCTGACCACCAGAGCACCCGCAGCTGCAGGAGGCTGGCCTGTCTGGCATGGGCAGGGCCTTGGTCCTGCACGGGGGAGGAGCTTGGTGACTACTGGGGAATGATCAAATCCCCCTGCAGGGGCCGGCAGGATTGCGGGATGCTAGGGACAGGGCGCGGGCTGCGGCGCGGTCTTCGCAGGCCAGCGCGCCCCCTCGTGGCTGAATCCGGGACTGCAGAGGCCCCGGCGGACCCCTTCCCATGCTGCGCGCTTGCCTCACCAGGGGCCACACGGGACATTGGCTCAGCGCTCACGCGCATGTGCATGCGCCACCGCAGCATCGAGACCAAGCTGCGGCAGTTCACCAAGTGAGTGGGTGCTGCCGGCGGGCCGGGGTGTCACAGGGAGACCCCTCTGCTAGCCCTGACCTGCCCACCCATGTCCATAGCGCCCTGCTGGAGAGCCTCATCAACCCGCTGCAGGAGCGCATCGAGGACTGGAAGAAGTCAGTCAACCAGCTGGACAAGGACCACGCGAAAGGTGAGGCCAGGGCTTCAGCCTGGGTTTGCACGGGAGCGCGCGGGCGCGTGCGTGCGGCCAGGACCCCCAACAGAGCGCTCCCTTCACCCCCTGCACAGAGTACAAACGGGCTCGGCATGAGATCAAGAAGAAGTCATCAGACACACTGAAGCTGCAGAAGAAAGCACGCAAAGGTAGCGCCCAGAGATGCCCATCAAGGCACAGCCCCACGGGGCCCCACTCCATTGGCCCCACCGCCCTCCGGGTCACCCCAGGGCATTATCCTGGGCAGAGGAGCCCTATCCTGGACACAGGGCCCTTCAACCTGCTGGGTGGGACAGAGGGAGCCTCCTTGCACCCCAGACCTGCCCCGGACGCCCCCTCTCAGGGAGGTGGCAGGAGGCTCCCCAGGCCCAGGCGCCCCCCCCCACCCCGGAGTGGCTCTGTCCATACGGCTGTCTTTCACACATTCTTTCTTTCTGTCTCTCCTCTCCTCCACATCCTTCCTGTAGAGCTACTTGGTAAGTCAAATGTCCGTCTCTCCACCTGCTCCTCCCGTCCTTGTCGCATTTGTCTGTCTCCCCCAGCCCAGGGGCATTGGAAGGAGCCTCTCCAAGCCATGGAGGAGCAAGGAAGGCAGTCAGTCCAGCAAGGGAGGGGCCTGGGGCACAGTCCCTCTGGGGCCCTGGGGGCCCTGGCCAGGGACGAGTCCAGGGCCACTGCCAGGTCAGCCTGCCAGGCCAAGAGGGGCTGGGCGGAGGGCACAGGCCTTGGCTACCCTGTCCCCACCCTACCTCCCCAAGTCTTCACTTGTCACCTCCCTGCTTCCTGTCTCACCGCTCCTCTACGTCATCCTCTCGCCTCTCTCTGTCTCTCTCGCTGCTTCTTGGTGTCGCTGTTGCTGTCCTTGTGCGTTGCTTCCTGAGCTGAGTGGGGGCCCCACACTGAGACCCCCTCCCCTGCTCCCAGCCTAGCTCTCTTGACCAGGGTCTGAAGGACCCCTGAACCCCTTGCTCTACTTTGTCCTGTTTCCACCAGGTCCTCCTGTGTCCTGGGAGGCGAGAGGGTGCCCTCCTGTGGGCAGTGCGGGTACAGGGCGTGGGGGTCTCCTCTGGGCCCTCCTGAGCACCCCTGCTCTAAAGGCAGCCCTCGGGCTGCCCAGGCCTCTGCCCACCCCGGGCCCCAGGTGGCTTTGCAGTTTTGGTGTCTTTCCTGTGTGCGTCTGTCCGTCCTCTTTGCTTGCTCTGGGGACCAGCCCTTCCCCAAGTCCTGGAGTCCTGCCTGCCTTCCCGAGTCCCCTGGCCCCATGGCCGTGCCCAGCCCCACAGCCAGGGACGCCACCACGGGGCCGGCTGAGCCACGGACGCAGCCAGCTGGGCCGGGGTCCCCAGCGCGGCCTCTCCTCCCAACCCCTGCAGGGAAAGGAGACCTGCAGCCCCAGCTGGACAGCGCCCTGCAGGACGTCAATGACATGTACCTGCTGCTCGAGGAGACGGAGAAGCAGGCGGTGCGCCGGGCCCTGATCGAGGAGCGTGGCCGCTTCTGCACCTTCATCACCTTCCTGCAGCCTGTGGTGGTGGGTCCCTTGGGAGCAGAGTGGTGTTCAAAGCATCCCACGGTTGCGCCAGCGGAGCGGTCCCCTCAGGGTGCTACTGTTACCACATCCCAAGAATCAGGATTTGGGAACTGCTGGGCCCGAGTTCTTTTTGGTGACTTGGTCCCAGCAGGCTGGGCGCATTGTGGGCTGAGCGGTCCTACCCAAAGGCCTGTCTCGTAGCTCATCGTCCGGGTGGGCGGCCACACCAGCCCTGGGCCGTGCACGTCCAGCCTCCCTGAGCCCCAGCAGTGCTGGAGGTGGGGCCAGGCCCGGGCAGGGCCCGCGGCTCTGACTCGCCGCTTCCTTAGAACGGCGAGCTGACCATGCTGGGAGAGATCACCCACCTGCAGGGCATCATTGACGACCTGGTGGTGCTGACCGCGGAGCCCCACAAGCTGCCCCCCGCCAGCGAGCAGGTACGGTCAGCCCTGAGCATGGGGGACGGGCGGGGAGGGCCTGCCCTTGGTTGGAAACAGTAGAAGAGAAAGGGGGACAGCATTTGGGGGGGTCAGGCAGCTGGGGATAAAGGACGTGTCCTGACACCCACAGTGGGGCATCCAGGAGCACCTGCCAGGTGAAGGGTGACCGGGCCCAGGACCCGACAAAGGCCTTGGCCTGAGGGCAGATGGACAGAAGCCCCAGCCTCGTGGGGCTTGGCCCTGTGCCTGCCCGCCTCTCCCACCGTGTGGCTCCCCGTGCGCCAGGGCCAGGCCCACGGGACCGCCCCGTGGCGCACTCGCTGGACACCACGCGTACCCCGCTCGCCGCTGGACACTTCCCACGGATCGTCTCGTTGAATCACCCTGGTGGCCCTCTGTGACAGCAATGATTGGCTGCGTGTCACTGGAAAAACCTGAGGCTCTGGGAGGTCTAGAACATGTGCCCAAGGGGCACAGCAGAGCCAGGACATGAGCCCCATGGTGTCCTTCACGGCCACTCCTACCGGCTCCTCTGCCAGCGACAGAGTCCTCAGGAGTGGCAGTTTCTCCCGTGCCCCCAGCCCCGCCTGGGCCAGGCTCAGATGGCTCAGTGTGTGTGAACTGGGGGGCCCGGCCCAGGCAGGGCAGCGTCCCTGAGGATCAGAGCTGGCAGACTGGCCCCAGGCTCTCCCCAGCGCTCTGGTGGCCCTGCTCCCCGCCCCCAGTAAGGAGCTGGCATGAGGGAAAGGCAGGGGCAGGGCTTCAAACTCCTGGGGTCTCCTGCTGGGACCTGGTTCTCCACTGGGAAGAGAGTGGGGGGCCTGGGTCTACCTGCCCTGTGGGGGACCCCAGGATGTGACAAAGCTCCCTGCGGGGCAGGGCTGCCTCCAGTGACCTCCAGTCCTGTCCCTGTCCAGGTGATCAAAGACCTGAAGGGCTCAGACTACAGTTGGTCCTACCAGACCCCACCCTCGTCACCCAGCAGCTCCAGCTCCCGAAAGTCCAGCATGTGCAGGTCAGCGGGGGGCCTGAGGTGGTGGGGGACACAGGGATGCCCTGAGGGAACGGCATCGCTCCCACAAAAACTGCATCAGGAGTTGCTTTAGGGCCCCACAATTCACCCGATTTCTGCACCGTCTGGAATTTGCAAGTGCAGAGGAAAAACGCCCTCGGTACAAGACCACACTGGGGCAGGCGTGCTAGTAGGAGGGGCTTCTTGGAGGAGCCGCTTCGCTTTGGGAGTGAGGACCGTGTCCCAGGTGCTGCGCTCAGTGCTTTGTGCATTCTCTTCATTGAATCCCAACCACCGCATTGGGTCTGGTGTTGTCTCCGTTTCACAGGCGGGGAAACTGAGACCAAAGACTCAGAGTCCCAGCACAGTCTGGGGGAACAGAACGAATCTAAGACCTGGGAGAGGCGGGGAAGCTTCTGGGGGCATGCGCTGAGGCCGCAAGCACACAGGCAGACGCTGCAGCCGGCTGGTCCCGGAGGGCTGGCACCGGGGCGGGGTTTGGAGAAGATGTTGAAGATCCAAGGCCCCTTGGGTGGGAAGGCAGGGAGCCCCCTCTGTGCCCATACCCCTTTCCCCAGAACCACCCCTGGCTGGGCGCCCAGGGCGCGGCCGGTGAGCAGGGCACAACGGCTCCTGCAGGGAGTGGACATCCCAGGCAGGGATGTCGCAGGAGGGAAGGTTGACTGCAGGGACGCCTGTGGCCAGGGACGGGGCAGGGGGCCTCAGGGTCCCACTCAGGAGGAAGGCGCCCTTCGTGACCCATGAGTGAAGTGGAGGCACAGAGGATGGGAGCTTCACAGGCTGGACACCTCGAGGGAGTGGAGGGGGCGAGGCCATCACCGCACGCTTGACAGCCCCTTAGGGCTGATGGCGGTGCTCAGACGTTCAGAAGCCTGTCCAGAAATAACCAGACTTGCGTCCGGTTCTGGTGCGGCCAGGGAACGGACACCTGGTGGCTCAGTTTCCCCACCGTTAACCTAAGGTCTGCTATTCTAATGCAGAATAGGAGGCAGAGGGGCCGCTTTGCTCCGGTGCACCGTGATGGCGGCTCCCCCCAGGGACGGGGCCAGGCCAGCCCCTCCGGGCCATCCCCTGCCCGGGCCCACCCCGCTCCACGGCCCCAGAGCCCAGCTCCTCTGTGGCACCGGGGCCCCGGGTCTCAGGACCTTGTGGTCTGACATTCTCTTTTCCTTCCTTTGCCCCTCACCTGTCTCCCCACCCTCGTCTGTCACCTTCCCTTCCACACACACCCCTGTGTCTCTCTGTCTGGCTGCTGTGTCCCCTGTTCGTTCCCCCAGCGCCCCCAGCAGCAGTGGCGGCGCCAAGGGTGGCGGAGCCCCATGGCCAGGGGGTGCCCAAACATACTCACCCAGTTCCACCTGTCGCTACCGCAGCCTGGCACAGCCAGCTTCCGCCACCGCCCGCCTCTCCAGCATCTCCTCCCACGACTCCGGCTTCATCTCCCAGGATGCCGCCTACTCCAAGCCTCCCTCACCCATGCCTTCAGACATCGCCAGCCAGGTGAGGGGTGTCTGCAGGCCCACCAGGACGGGGCGCAGTGGCCTCCTGCCAGCCGTGGGCTGTTCACGTGTGGGGCCACCTACAGCTGTTGATACTGGCTTGGAGGTCCCCAGGGCCACCACCCTGGGGACCGAGCTGAATTTACTGCTTCAAGGCTAAGGAGAGATAGGGAAGGTCTTGGAGCAGCCACACGGCCACAGCAGTGTCCAGCAGGAGGCTTTGGCAGCCCCGCTTGCTCCCCATGTCTGGATTCCTTGCTTTCTCCCTTCCGGCTGTAAGAGCAGGGAGTGGACAGCGGGCCGGCACTGGCCCCTGGTGACCCTCCCCCGCTCCACACTCAGGCCGCCTCCCTCTAAACCCAGGGACTGGCCCAGACTCCCCTCCCAGGCAGACTCCGTGAGATAGACCAATGGGGGGAGGGGTGGCCACAGCAGAAGACAAAGGGAGGTCAGGCCACCTGCCGGGGGCATCTGCGAGTAAAGTGACCCCACCTGCAACGGACGCTCCGTGCCGCCCGCCCCAGCACAGCCTCCATTCGGGCCCAGCATCCATAGCCTGTCCTCTTGCCTGAGGACGCCCCCACTGCACCTGTCTGTCCCTGTGCCGGCTCATCGCCAAACAGGCACCGAACGAGCATCTTACCAGCGCCCTGCCCCCACAGTCTCCTCCAGCCACCGAGTCTCCTTTGCAGCAGAGCTTCGCAAAGAGTTGTCTGCACGGCCCCTCTCTCCCTCCTTTCCTGCTCACTCTCAACCTCAGAGAGAAAAGGAGCAATATATTTTTTACAGATACTCTTCTTTGGGTTAAAGGGGTGCTTTCTATTCCTAGTTTAAGTGGTTGGTTTTTTCCATGACTTTTAAGTGTTGAATTTTTCCATTGAGTTTTCCACATGCTTTTTTTCCATCGATCTTCAACAATTATGGTAAAAAAAAAAATCTAAATTTGTTTATTGTTTCCCCTGAATCCTTACTCTCTGGTGCTTTTTTCCTGTTATTTTGGTGATCATGGTTCATCATACACTGTAAAAAAATTGAGGTGTCTAACTTAAGGACGATGGGGAGAATTTGAGAGGCCCTGGGGCAGGGTTCCCTGGCCCACGGGGCCCCCCAGCGGGGAGCCCCCCCCCGACCCTGCCACCTGCCGCCGCCAACCACGGTGCTGAGGCTGCCGGCCCTGAGGAGCCCTGGGTCCCGCTTCTGCCCTTGCTTATTTTTTCTTCATTCTTTTTTTGTTGTTTTGAGTTGGGGGGCCTCCCAAACAGACTTCTGCTCCTACCATTCTACTGAGACAGTTCCCGAGGTCTCCACGGCGCCCCCCGCCCTCACCCGAGGCCCCCGAGCTGCGTCAACATAGCTGACCCACGTTTGCATGTCAGGTTCTGGCACCGATGCTGTGTTATCGCCTGCTTGTGGTGTCCTCTCCTTCCTTTGCCGGGACCCTCGTCCTCTCCCCACCACTGGCCGGGCGTGCCTGAGGGCCTCGAGCCTTCTCTCCAGCTGCCCTCACTGCGAGGTGCCTTATCCTGCCTCCCGGCTGCTGGGTTTGTGGCTCCAGCCCTGTCTTCTCCCCAGACCCCAGACGTGTAGCTACGGCGTCCTCATGGCGTCCACGTGTGGACCCCTAATGGGCAGCTCAGCCTAACAGGTGCAGGAGGGAGGCCCGTCCTTCTCAGAAAACAGCGACGGCACGCACCCAGCGGCTCAGGCCAGGCCCCCCGCCCCCCGCCCCGTCGCTTGTGTCTCGCTTCCCCTTGCCCCTCAATCCAGGCCACCAGCGGAGAGTCCTGTCATTCACTCCTGAGGTGTGGGGTCCCGGGGCTGGGCCACGGGGTAGGTCAGAGCTGCGGGGCGCACGCTGGGCACCCACACCGGGCGCCGCGCTCTGCTGCAGACGCTCCTGGCCGTGCCCTGGGGTGGGGATGGGGCCGCAGGGCGGGCGCTGTTGTCGGACTACCTGCTGCCGCGTGCGGCCCTGTGACCAGCTCTGTTCTCTCCTCTCCTCTGGCCCCCGCCCCGTCCGTCCGCCTACCCGCCCCTGCGGTGCAGAAGTCCTCCAGCTCTGCCTCCTCCGAGGCCTCAGAAACCTGCCAGTCGGTTAGCGAGTGCAGCTCTCCCACCTCGGTCAGTGCCCGCGCCTCCTGCCTGTCCTCTGCAAGGAAAGCCCCCTAGTTACCACTGCAGCCGCTCCCCTTATGCTCACGGCTTTCCCTCCTGTTCCTGGCTGGGCAGAGGGGTCACAGCGCCCTCCCTACTTTGTCTTTGGCCACAATTGTGAGCCTGGGGGCCCACGCGGACCGGAAACCCTGACCCTTCACTACAGAGAGGGGCCCCTTGGCGATGGACAACAGGGCAGAGGGTCCCCCTGACCTGCCTGCCTTGCCCTGCAGGACTGGGCCAGGACCGGCCCCCACGAGCAGCCCTCCACCCTGCAGCGGAGGAAGGACCGAGTGGAGCTCCTGCGAGACGCAGAGCCAGGCCCAACCAGCGGGGGCGCCCTGGGCCCCAGCGCAGAGGAAGCTCCTCGACCCCGCATGTCCCCTGCCACCATCGCAGCCAAGGTAGGCGGCAGCCCAGCCAGGGCCCCACATTCACTCCCGGGTCAGTGCCGGGAGGCCGGGTGCTTGTCCTCAGGCCCAGCTCTGCCCCTGCTGGGAGCTCCCTGCAGTCCGGGCTGAGGGGGGACGCTGGGGCGCAAGGCTTCAGCCTTCAGTCTTACCATCCCAGCACGGTGAGGAGGTGTCCCCTGCAGCCAGTGATCTGGCCATGGTGCTGACGCGCGGCCTGAGCCTCGAGCACCAGAAGAGCAGCCGGGACTCGCTGCAGTACTCCAGCGGCTACAGCACACAGACCACCACGCCCTCCTGCTCGGAGGACACCATTCCTTCCCAAGGTAGGCCCCGGGGCTGGGGCGGGTTCCTGGGCCTGCCCCCCCGAGGCCCCGGCCCACTGCATCCCGTGCCCCCAGGCTCTGACTACGACTGCTACTCGGTGAACGGGGACGCAGATGGCGAGGGGCCCCCTGAGTTCGACAAGTCATCCACCATCCCTCGCAATAGCAACATCGCCCAGAACTACCGCCGCCTGATCCAGACCAAGCGCCCAGCCTCCACCGCGGGCCTGCCCACTGCAGGGCTGCCCTCTGCCTCAGGCGCGCCCCCCGGCGTGGCCACCATCCGCCGAACACCATCCACCAAGCCCACCGTGCGCCGCGCCCTCTCCAGCGCGGGCCCCATCCCCATCCGGCCCCCCATCGTCCCCGTGAAGACGCCCACTGTACCAGACTCCCCCGGCTACATGGGGCCCACTCGGGCGGGCAGCGAGGAATGTGTCTTCTACAGCGACGAGGCCGCCTCGCCCCTGGCGCCGGACCTGCTGAAGGCCTCCCCGAAGCGGCTGAGCCTGCCCAATGCAGCCTGGGCCAGCCCGGCCCCTGAGCCCGCTGGCTACGCCGGGCCAGGGCCCGAGGACGAAGAGCAGCAGCAGCTGGCAGCCAACCGGCACAGCCTGGTGGAGAAGCTCGGGGAGCTGGTGGCAGGGGCCCACGCCCTGGGCGAGGGCCAGTTCCCCTTCCCCACCACTCTGTCGGCCACGCCTGCCGAGGAGACGCCCACCCCACCCCCAGCAGCCACCAGCGACCCCCCAGCTGAAGACATGCTGGTGGCCATCAGGCGTGGGGTGCGGCTCCGCAGGACCGTCACCAACGACAGGTCGGCACCCCGCATCTTGTGATGGCGCCACCCTCCCATCCTCTGGCCAGGTGCCAGGCAGGTAGCCTGGCCGGTGAGCGGCGGCCGCTCAGAGTGAAGGCGCAGCCAGGAGAGAGCAGAACCAAGCAAGCTTTTTTTTTTCTTTTTTTTTTTTTAAAGTCACATGAGGCAAAGCCACTTTATGGAAAGAAACACCCAACGTGGACTTCAGCATTAAACAGGAAGTGACTTCTTTAACCTCGCCATAATGGAGCCTGCAGGCCTTGACCTGGATTTGGAGCCTGTTTTATACTCCCCTTGCCTATACTCTGTCCTTCCTCGTCCTCCCTGCAGGCCCTGCCTTCCCCACGTCTCAGAGAGCCCCGAGCGCCCCTGCCCACGGTGGGGGGCCGGGCCAGCGCTCCCTCTGCCTGCCCTCCCGGCCTGGGCCCGCAGTGCCAGCGCTTAGCCAGCCTGGCCGGGCTGGGCCGCGCCACGGGGCCCGCGATGTCCCAGGCCTTTCTAGACTGAGCCTTCTCTCTTTCCCTCCCCCTTCTCTGCCTCTCCCATGCTCCCCTCCATCGGGGAGGCAGAGTGGCTGTCGGGGGGCCAGGTGCCCGATCAGCTAAGGCAGCAGATTTGACTGACAATGTGTGCAGAGTCACCGGTGGGCGTGGGGGCAGGTGAAATTGGGAGGCTGGCCTGCCGCAGGGAGCTGTGCAAGGGGGGCCGGGGGCCCGGGCGCGGGGAGCCCCCGGGAGGAGGCTGGAGACCCTGGGGCAGCTCCTCCTGCTCTGTGAGGTGCACCTGGGGCTGAGGGTCAGGGTGGGGCAGCAGGGAAGGAGGCCAGAGGCCTCAGGGTCATGGGCCAGACCCGCAGGAGCTACTTTCAGATGTCTGGTCCTCATTTGGGTACAAGAGTAATTCTGGTGGCACTTCGCTCTCAGTTTCAGCCACATTTGGGTGTGAGGGCTGGAGCAACAGAGGGTGTGGGGGGGTTCTTTTATGAATATAATAAAATGGAGCTTACTGGACAAGGATTGTGTGTGGGGACAGGGTGGACGATACAGGGTGTGTCCGAGAGTGCCTGAAGGACAGGGGGCCCCACAGTGGTCTGGCGGGCTCATCCTAGGAGGGGAAGGGCCAACTGGCTCTCCAAAGGCCAAGGGACAGCCATTCTCTCCAGCCTCTGGAGCAAAAGCCAAATTAAGGGCTTCCGGCCCATCTGGGTGTCGAGGGGAGTCCTCCGGCCAGGCCAGGCCAGGCCGAGGGCAAGTCCGGGAAGATTGGCTTTGACTCTCTGTTGCCAGAGGAGATGCCATCCCAGGACGTGCCCCACCCCGCAGTCCTGGCTGCCGTGAGGGCGGGGGTGGGGCTGGCTGGAGGCCCCCTCCCCCCGCACACCACGTTGTGCCAACTCTAAGCAGGTGAAAGCAGGTGCGCCTCCACAGGGAGGGCTCCCGGAGGCCCCACAGGCCGGCGGAGAGCTGGGCTCAAGGGGTGGCAGGGCCACAGGGCAGGGGCCCCCGGGATCAGGAGAGCAGGCTTTTCCTGGTCGGGACGGGACGGGGTGGGTCTGAGTCCGCGTCTCCCAGCTGCCTGGTAGTTCCTGTGCCGGAGCTGGGACCCGGGTGGGGCTGGGAAGCCAAGGGTGCCCTGGGTGGGTGGAGCCCCGGGCTTCCCCGGGGTGGTGGAGAACGGTACCTGTAAGTCGCTAGGTCTGAGGACAACCTTGCTGAGCGCGCCGGCCAACCCCAGAGCCCAGGTTTGGGCACCTGGAGGGGGCCTGGGCGAAGGAGGGCCTTCGTGAAGGAGCCGGAGAGCAGGTGGCCGGTGTGGGCGGCCCTGGGGTGGGTGGGCGCCGCCCCCTCCGTCGGGGCTGCGTCAGGCTTCGCCCAGGGAGGCCGGGGCAGTAGGATGCAGGATGTGTGACGTGAGCAGGGTATGGAGCGGTGCGGTGGGGCCGTGGCTTAGTCCCCGCGTCCGGGAGCGGACAGGCTCGCCTCCTGCGGGGGCGGGGGGGCGGCTTCGCAGGGTCAGGGAGGTTGTGCCTGCTCCTTGCTCAGCCCCCTCCCCCTGTGAGCCACCCCAGGGCTGTACATAACTCCTCTGTCCCCTTGACCGCCTCTCATCCATTTAGTGACCACCTCATAGTGGCCCCCCCCGCCCCGGGATCCGAGCCGACCATCCCGCACCACAGACTTTGGTTTGGGGGACTTCTTTACATTTGTTTTATTTTTCATTTTGTACAGAGACATATTCTTTTCAAAGTCTTTTGACTGAAGTAACTTTTCTGGTGCTGTTGTTAACTTGTCCCTTCTGTTAATTTATTTCCCCGCCCTAGGCCCCCTCCTTGTTCCCTCTCACCCTCCTCCCTGCGCCCCCCTCCGCATCACCCATCCCATCTGAACCATTTTTGTTTCTTTTCTCTCTGTCGGTTTTTGGATAAATTATCCTCTCCGTTCCTTCCCCTCCAGCCCACCCTGCCCTTGATTTAAATAGTCACTGCTACAAGTAACAAATGCACTGTGAAGACCCCAGTATTAATAAAGTTGTACTGTAATTAACACCCCTGCCTCGGCCTGGCTTCCTGGCTTCCTGCCCCGCTGCCCCACCAGCCCTTTCCCCCAGGGGCCCAGCCTGGGGGTGGGGTTCCCTGGGGGCTCCCCCAGCACCATGTTGCAGGGGCAAGAGTGGCCGGGCCTTGTGCCAGGACCGACACCTTTGAAGGCTTCAGGTCCTTCCCTGCCGGCAGCTGTCTTGGGGCAGCCAGATGGACTGAGGGAGAGAGGGAGACCAGGAGGCACTGAAGTTGGGGTGGGGGGTGTCCCCACACACCCCGCTCCTGAGGCCTCGCGTGCTAGGGCAGAGCTAGGGGACTCCGTCCTCAAATGCCCGCGGCTCCAGCCCCCTGGCCAGGCTCTGTCTATTCCAAGTCAGAACCCTCAGTCCCAGGCCCAGCCAGCTCGACCCTCATCCCTCGTCCCTCGTCCCACGCAGGGCGCTTGCTGGGCTGGAGCAGATGGGGGCGGGGCTCCAGGGTCACCCTTGCAGATGCAAAGCAAAACAAACCAAAACGAAATAAAGCGGGTGTTTAATAGAAAAAATAAACCGGAAAAGCACCCACTGTGGCAAGATACGGCGTTTGGCTCTGCCCTCTCCCCAGCCTGAGTCCTGTCCACTCCACACCCACCTGCCCACCTGGCAGGGCTCTTGCCTCTGCCGCAGGCCAGGGAGACTGTCAACCCCGCCTTCGGGCAAGGGAGGCAGCCTGGGCGGTGCCAGGAGGGGCCGCGGCTCTGCCCTGTCCACCCCGGGCGTCCTCAGGCCCTCGCCGCTCCAGGTGAGAGCATGTGAGGTGCGGGGGTGGGAGCTGACTCCCAGGCAGATTCCCCCTGAAAGGAAAAACAGCTGTCCCGGGGGTCCTCTCCCGAGGGGCGTTCCCCACCCCCACCCGGCGCCATCTCGGCCCAGTGAACTGTGGGAGCTCCTCCGTCTGCCCCACGCAAGTCACCACATGGGCCCCCCGCGGCAGAAGGTCCCTGTGCCCTCGGCAGCTTCACTGAGCCAGGGTCCAGCCTCGGGGTCCAGGGGCAGCGAGGCGGGGGCTGCTGGGGCGAAGGGTCCAGCTAGGCGGCCACACATTGCCACAAGGGCTCTGTGTGATGGGGCTGAGCGCTTGGCACCTCGCAATCCTGCCAGTTGCGGACAGAGCTTTGTTTACCTGCAGGGGAACGGAATAGAAAAAACTGTAGGAGTGGTCAGCACCGACCTTGACCCTATACCCAGGGCCCATCGCGGCTTCCAGAAAAGGCGCGTGGCCCTGGGGAGCCGAGGGCAAGCCCCGCAGGGTGCCCGCTACCGGATCCCGCCCCAGCCCCTGCCCAGCCCCAATCCCCTGCCCCCCTACCCCCTATCCCCGGCCCCGGTCCTCACAGCAAGAGCAGTACAGCAGCTCCAGGACCCGGAAGCAGTTGTCCATCAGGGCTTTGGGCCGCACCAGCTTCTGGCTCAGCCCTGGAGCACTCAGGAGGGACAACACCGCTTCCACCCTGGGGCTGACGTCCACACCCTGGAAGGGAGGACAGAGTGAGGACCAGAGACCGGTGAGGAGCCAGGGTCACATGCTGGGAGGGCTGGGGAGCTGTCGCCCCAGGAGCTGTGCAAACCACAGAGGAAAGACAAGACTTCCTGGGACCAGGAGGCCTGGGAGCAATTTCTCTCCTTCTTCCTGAAGGTGCCAAGTTTCCAGGGGAGGAGTGGGGAGGGTACCCCTCAATGTCCCTCACACAAGCACAATACAGAGGCTTCTCTTTTCCCATGATTGGAAAAATAACTACCCAGCCCTGAGGCAAAGAGCCACTAAAGAAATCACTGGGGCCCTGGCTGGTGTGGCTCAGTGGACTGAGCATCAGCCTGCAGACCAAGGGGTCACTGGTTCGATTCCCAGTCCAGGCACATGCCTGGGTTGGGGTCTGGGTCCCCAGTAGGGGGCGAGCAAGAACCAACTGATTCATGTTTCTCTCCCTCCCTTCCCTTCTCTCTAAAGATAAATAAAGTCTTTAAAAAAAGAAAAGAAAAATGAAAGTTTTGAAAAACTGAACTCACTGGGGCCCCGGCCTCTGCCAGAATTCGGAGAACCTCCCCCGAGTTCGCGGCAGCCACAGAAGCAGTAGCTGGCCCCTAAGCCGGGGATCGCGAGAAGCTCACGGTGGCTGCTGGGCATTGTGACTGCGGAGCAGGGGGCTGCCTGGGACAGGTGGGTACCAGATTCCTGACCACTGGGGTAGCGTGGGGAGCAAGGCTATGCTGTTACCTGGAGTGGTCCCATATCACCTGTACAACACACATTCCTCCAGCCACCTTACTCTTCAGGCTTTTGTGGGGGATACCCACAGGCCTCAGACCAACCCTGCTGAACAGGAACCTCTTTTTCTTTAGTAGTAGTAGTATTATTACTTGAAGTCCATAGTTTACCTTAAGTTTCACTCTTTGTGGTGCACAGCTCTATGGGCTGTGACAAATGCATAATGCCACAGAGCGACCTTTGCAGGGTCCTACAGAAGCACTTCATCCCCCTAAACACCCGCTGTGTTCCACCTCCACCTCCCTCCTCCCCTCCCTGAAGGAGCCTGAGATGCAGAAACAAAGTCGCAGCAATCAATGACTTGCCCAATTTCAAAGAGCAAGACAGAGCCTGGAACAGGGTCTCGGGGCACACCTCCCGCCCCCAGCCCATCCCCCGCGCTGGTCACCACTGGCCACCCCCCTCCCATTTTGCCTACGCCCTTCAGATATGCCTGATCTTTCCAGGCAGGCAACCCTCCTCCGACAGCCCTTGGCCACCATCCACGCACAGCCCCGCCCATGCGCACCTCTGCCCAGCTCACCCTGAGGTCTTGCTGGACGTTCAGCAGTAGAGTATGTATGTCGTCCAGGTACTGCCAGGACGGGTGGCCTTCGAGCAGCACCTTCTGCACTGCCTCAGTGGCACTGAGACTCACCCAGACCCACAGATACCGCAGCTCCTGCTGGCTCACCTGGGCCCGCTGCTGAGGGAACAGGAGGCATCACTGAAACCCCCAGACGTGGGCCTCTGGGCCCTCCCCACGCGGCTCTGGCCACTCACCCACTTGCCCCTGAATAGGGAGCCCACCACAGTGGTCCACTGTGGACTGAGGCCAACCGTGGGCCTGGGCCAAGGGCGGACTTGCATGGGGGGCGCGGAGAGAGCACTGGCAAGGCCAGTGTGGGTCTCGGGAGAGGCCCTTGGGATGTCCTGGCCCGGGAGGGGGATCTCACCAGCCTGGTGACGTTGGCCACTCTGAGCACCCCCTCATAAGGCACGCTGACCTGGTAGTTGATGGGGAAGTAGTGTTTCTGGGGAGGTAAAGAACAAACCATTAGATCAGAGTCAGAAATGACTCAGGTTCCCCAACAGTCCCGCACCCAGACAATTGGCTGTAGTGGGAGGGGCCCAGGAGCCGCCCTGCAATGGCAGAGGCAGCCCTCTAGGGGGCGGGCACGTGGCTCTCCATCGGAACAGGACAGCTTTCCTCCGGGACACAGGGAAGAATGAAACAAAACACCCAGTTGCTGTTAGGGCAGAAGTTTCAGCCAAGAAGCAGTATGAGGGACATACTACCCCAAGAGAAACAGATTCTTGGGGGTGTGGAAGATTGAAAGAGCGCTCTAAAGCATATTATGGCGATGGCCGCACACCTCTGCAAGTACTAACACCCACTGGGCGTACATTTAAATGAGTGAACTGTGAGGTGTGTGAATATCTCAGTAAAGCTGCTTTAAAAAAAAGACACACAGTGCCACGCCACGGGGGCCCCTCCACCCTGTAGGAAGACCCTGCTCCAATTTCTAGGTCCTTGCCTCCCCTGCTAGTCAGACTGTCTGGGTTTCCCCCAAGGTGTCCTGGGCCCCATTCCTGAGACACAGGGTGATGACCCCAGGGGGTGCCCAAAGGTCAGCCCTAGTGGGAGGGGCGGAGGCCCCCAGGAGAGCTGGCGGGAGGGAGAAAGGACAGTCGGTGCAGATCGGGCAACCAGGCCCAGGGGGGATGGGGAGGAGAAAGGCAGCCGAAGAGGCCAAGTAGGCCCAGGGCCTTCGCCGGTCCATGGGGCTCGGGACGGGGGACACAGCACATGCCATGTGGTTACCATGTAGTGAAGGCGGTTCTTGTACTGCAGCTTGTCCCGCAGGAAGCCGGTGATGGCACACTCCTTGCTCTGGGTCACAGGCCACACCTCCAGACCCTGGTCCCCCAAGGCCATGCCCAGGAGGATCCCGAGATCTGTGAACCGTGCCCAACAGGAACACGTGAGCACCACCCAGTCTCCCCTCTCCCAGTCACGAGTCCCTATGGGAGAGATGGGAGGGGTAGGGGCACAGACCCCGAGGAGGCCTTCCCACCACCAGGCTGGTCTGTCCGCAGCCTGGGCTTCAGGACAGCAAAGCCGCCCAGCCTGTCCGCTCCAGGCCGGAAGCCAACCCCTGGTGGGTAAGTCGCACCTTCCCCCAACTCCCACCCCACAAGGTGGGCACAGCCTCCCTGCAGGCCTCCAGAGCCCCTCCTGGCCTCAAAGCCTGTGGCTTGCATTTTTCCATCTGGGGATTCAGGAGCCGTAGATTCTAGTTCCAACTGTAGAAATGACTCGTGGGTGCCTAAAGGCATTTTCTTCCCTTCTCTGGCCTTGGCATCCATTTCAGTTAATGCACCAGAGAGCATGTAGCAGTCCCTCTGGTTTGCTCATTCTAGGACGCTAAGCAAATCTCGCTCAGGCAGCTTCGCGTTCCCTGCCAACAGAAGAGCTGCCGCCTTCTACACGTTACCAGCCTTGACCACTTGAGGTCGATGTGATCTCAAAAATAGCCTGTGTGATTTCCCATAACCGAACAGATTGACACAGTATCTCTAAGTAGGACAACTGTAATAGCATGAACAATAAAACATAATTTAAAAATTCTCTAAGAGAATTTGCAAGAAATATGAACAAGGGTTTTGTCAGTCAGAGCAGAAAGAACAAACTATAAGTGGACAGGGATGTATCCCCCAAACTCAACCTCACTAATAAAAAAATTCACGTTAAAACAATCAGATGCTGTATTTCATCTATCAGAATGGAAAGTGGCTTTGTTTGTTTGCTTTATTTTATTTTATTTTAATAGCATTTTGTGCTGGAAAACATGGTGAGGTGGATGCTCTCTTCCCAGAAAGCATATTGGCGATATTTTTTTAATTAATGGAATAATGTCTACACCCTTTGACCCATTAAAATCATTTCTAGGAATAAACCCAAGGGAAAACAAAAAAGAAAGATGTAACCAAAAGATTTATGGACAAAGCCTTTCATCGCAGCATTATTTCACAAGAGTGAAAACCGATAAATGACTTGATTGTTCAATAACAATAACTTGTAGCCAATAGAAGTTGCATTGTCCAAAAACGATTTGTGACATGTTTAGTGATAAGGGATATACTTGTGATATACATAGGGAAATTTTCTTAAAATGCATATCTGGGTGTATAATTCCAGCATGACTCGAGTTCTGTTAATTCTGTGTGTGTGTGTGCGTGCGCGCACAGGAAGTGTGGCAGGAAGCACTGTACCAAATCTCTACGGGACATTTTTATGTTCTTTCTATTTTGTAGGATATATTTTATATTCTACCAACAATATCTATTATTGTTATAGTCAAAAGCAATTTTTTTTTTTGGCTCTTTTCTTTTTCCGAAATCAGCCAGGCAGCCTGAGCTGTCTCCTGGACCCAGCCCTGGTGATGAGTGGCGATCCCTGACCAGACTTTCCCCGCTCACTAGGGAGTAGGAAGGTTTTGCTTCTTAAACCCTCACTAGCCCGGGCCTGCTCCCTGTCTCCCCCTCGGACCCTTCTCAGTCCCGTGGCCACGGCCGTGGCCGGCCCTGCAGCGGAGCACTCTCAGGTCCGCGCCGCCCTGCGCCCTGAGGGCGGCAGCCCACCACACCTTCCTCTCACAGGGCAGCCACGTGTTTTACAAGGTTGCAAATCTGCAACCCTCTCTCTCTCTCCCCCCCACCCCCCACCCCAAGTGCTCACACCAGTATTTGCACACAGGAACAGATAAACACACGCTGAAGCAGCTTGCTTTCTGTCTTGTCTCTAAGTCATTGCCCCTCTCAGCTCGGCCAGTCACGATCATTCCTGCCTGAGAGTTCCTGCTCACAGCTCGCCCTGCCACGGGCGTCCTCTCACGCTGCGGACATCCTCCAAGGGCCCACCGAGACTCCTGCCGGGCCCAGGGTCTAGCCCGCCTGCACCAGCCCCCGCCAATCCCTGTCTCTAGCACCATCTGGCCAATTCACTCATCTTCACCAGACAACTTAGCCCCTGGTATGTAAACACATGACGTGTGTTTACCCGGGCTTGTTTTCTGAGCACTTCTGGGGCTCACCTTGAGCAGCACATCTGAATCTGCTGGACAGCAGGCAGGGCTCCACCCTGGAGCGCCCGATTCATAGGGCGGGGCGGGGCCTGAGAACTTGCATTTCTAACAAAGGCCCGGGTGACACTGCTGCTGCCGGGACCACACTTTGAGAACCGCTGGCCTGGAGCGACAGTTGCAAACTGTGTCCCAAGGGCCACATCTGGTTCACAGTGATTTCACGTAAAAATCTGCATTTCTATCTTTTGTTTGAAAATCAGCATCTGTACACACTGGGTCTTCCTTCTCATGTGCAGTCACCATTGGCTGCCCAAACCCCCCACCGCCACCAAGTCCTGCTCCAGCGCTCCCCGGTCCACAGCCCTCGGGGCCTGGCAACCACCGGCACGTGGCTGGGGCTGAGCCTGGCACACGTGGGCTGAGCTGGGAACCCCATCCGCAGATCGCCTGCCTTCCCTCAGACAGACTTCCTCCAAGCCTGCTGTCCACTTCCAATGTTAAGCGTCTTTTCTGTTGCCCCCGCCCTGAGAAATAGGCCAGTGAACAGGTGACTAGGCAGGGACAACACATCTGTAGCCTCATGGCCACTCTGCACCCCTGGAGCCCCATGGCTGGGGCAGAACTGACCCCGGTTGAGAGACCCATCTTGCCCGCCCTCCCTCCCTCCAGAGGTAGGAGACCCGAAAGTCAGAAGGGGAGGTTAAGAAAGGGCAACACGAGGAAGGCATTCCCCGATGCCTCTTGGTGCGGGGGGCAGGGGGGGGGCTACACATCTCCCCGAGACCACCCTTTGTGCAGCGATAGATGGGACCTGTCCACCACTGAGTGGAGGGGTTAACAGCACTCCCTCAAAAATATTCTTATTTGCCCAGAACCTCAGGTGCGACCTTCTCTGAAAATAGACTCTGCAGAGGTGATTAAGGCCCAGCCTAAATCCAATGACAGATGTCCTTATAAGAGGAGAGGATGAGAGACACGTGGAGGAAAAGACCAGCTGAAGACAGAGGCAGAGGTTGGAGCAATGCTGTCAGAAGCCAAGAACCTGGCAGCCACCGGAGGTGGAAAGGGGCAGGAAGGTCCCTCCCCGGAGCCTTCAGAGGGAGCATGGCCCCGCCCACACCTTGATTTCAGACTCCCGGCCTCCAGCGCAGGGATGGAATGAATTTCTGCTGTTTTAAGCCACCGAGTTTGTGGCAATCTGTGACGGCGGCCAGCCCTTGTCTAACACCCGGCCTCTCTGCGGGCCTGTGGTCTGCATCCCCGCGCTGTCCTCACGCCACAGGCAATCCTTGCCCGGCCCCGCGGCCGCCTCCACGAGCTTTGGCCCCTGTGCCACGCCTTCCCATCCTCGCGCCATTTCCGGAACTGGCCCTCCTTTCCCGCTGCCCAAAAGGTGACAGCAACCTCTCCTGCAAGTACCACGGGACTGATCTGGAAGCAGAGTCTTTCTCAATCACAGCCCCTCCCCCATGTCAGATCATGAAGCTGTGAGGTGCCCCTGTTATCACGCAAACCAACTTCCCACAGCCGCCCGCTGCCCCACCGCTGCTCCCTCTACCTGCAACACTGCCCTCGCCTCTGAACGGCTACCTGTGTGAACTGTGCCCGCCTTCGAGACCATTTCAAGTGGCATCTCACCCATGCTGCTCCTCATGACCTGGAAAATTCCAGAACACTGGGTCTCTGTCCTTCCACTGTTCTAAATGCTCTGACCCTTTGCAAGATCCTTCCACAAGGGCCCAGTGGGACCCAACTCCTCTGCAAATTCCTCACAGGATCAAGTCCTGACTCACCCACTCAGCACAGAGTTCCCAGGGCCTAACCTGGGCCAGGCTTTGGCGAGCGAGGCCAAGGCAGCCCAGGCCCTTGTGCCAGGGCAGCAACTCTCCGGTGGGTACATGGGAGGCACCAGAAACATGTGCTGAATTTGGTTCAATCAAACTGAGACTCAGAATCTGAAGGGATCTCGGCCTGGCCTCCCACCGGCAGGCTTGAGAGGCTTCTTGCTCCTTTTTTTTTCCTGACCTCATTTCAACTTACTTTTCTTTTTCCCAACAAACTATTCTCTCTCTGCCTTTGAATTTTTGTTCTTTATGGAAGATGGGGCCAAGGAAACAGGTCACCTTCTCCAGGCACCTGGCTGCCCACCTCCCATGTGTCGTGGGGCCCAGACACTTTCACAAGCCCCTGCCACCTGCGGGCCACACCCAGGGAGGCCAGAAATCCTCTCTCTCTCCGCCCTCCCTGTCCCCACCGTACTCCCTAGCACCCATGAATCTGGGGAGGTGGAGCTGCTACCTACCCCCAGTGCCTGCCCCGTCCCCGTGACCACCCACTGACGGTGCCCACCTGCCGATGACTCACACCCACCGTGCCGGCCTGAGCAGGGGTCAGCTGGAGACAGGGTGGAGGGCGGGCGTGGGAGTCCCCGAGGGATCCTGCACTGAGCTGGGAAGCATCTCAACTTCTCACCAGCAAGAATGGCCCAGTTGCCATGGTTACGGCAGAGCTCGGCTGTGGGCCAAGGCCTCCCCGGGGCAGTCCCCACGGACCCCCCCAGTACTCACAGTGGAGCCAGGCGAGTCCCTGGGGCATGGTGGTGCGCAGGGTCCCCCAGAGAGCAGAGGCGGTGTCCCCAGCGGTGAGTCTGTCCACAGAGGCGTGAGTGCGGCCTACATGGCCTCGGGTCAGCACAGGTGGCCTGAAGTAGAAGAAGGGCTGGCCACGGAGGGCGGCCTGGCAGGGGGACGCAGGTGCTCCTGGGGCGGCACCACCCTTATCTGCCTGGCAGTGCGGAGGGCAGCTGGGGGGCGGCAGCTGCGAGTTCCATGGCAGCCAAGGCCTGGCCTGAGACGGCGGCCTCAGGGTCTTCCCTCCCAAGTAGGAGGAGAGAGTCCCCAGCAGGCCCCTCGGAATCTGAGGCTGGGTTGTGCTTTCTCTGATTTCTCGGTCTGCAGCTGCTCAGTGTGAAATCTGGCTCTGGAAAGAGAAAGGAGGAGAGAAACCAATTATGTAAGAGCAGCGCTGCCACTCAGCCATCAGCCGCGGGCCTGTGCACGCTGCACCCTCCGCCCGGCCAGGACCCAGGGAAAGGCCTAGGTGCACGGCCCTGTCCTGGCGGCTGCCTGCCCTGGGGTACAAGCTCACACGCAAGGAACGACTTCAGCACAACCGAAGGGCAGCCTCAGCCCAGAAGTGAGTTATGATGACACTTGATGGCAGACTGAACAAAAGCAGGACCAAGGAGTGAATGGGCCACGTGGGTTAAATCAAAGGAGCTTCCTGGAGGTGAGAGAGAAGGTAAAGTGACTCAGGCTGCAAGGAGGTTAAAAATACAAATGCCCCTCCACTCACCTTTAGGCTTTGTCCTATCCTCCAATACCCCAAATTTGCATCCCTTCCTAATAGATTGCCCAGTTAAATTTTAATTTCAGATAAACAAGACACTTGTAGCATAATTATGCCACGAATTTTTTTTTAATTTAAATTATATTTTATTTTTATGCTATTATAGTTGTTCCAATTTTTCCTCCTTTGCCCCCAGGCCATCCCCACACCATTGTCCATGTCCACGGGTCACGCATGTATATTCTTTGGCTACTCTATTCCCTATGCTGTACTTTACATCCCCATATTATTCTGTGACTACCAATTTGTACTCCTTAATCCCTTCACCTTTCTTGCCCATCCCCCGACCCCCTCCCTTCTGGCAACCATCAAAACGTTCTCTGTGTCTATTTCTGTTCTGTTTGTTCCTTTATTTTGTTTTTTAGATTCAATTATTGATAGATGTATATTTGTTGCCATTTTATTGTTCATGTTTTTGATCTTCTTCTTAAAGTACCTTTAACATTTCATATCATACCAGTTTGGTGGTGGTGAAGTCCTTTTGCTTTTTCTTGTCTAGGAAGCTCTTTATCTGCCCTTCCATTCTAAATGACAGCTTTGCTGGGTAGAGTAATCTTGGTTGTAGGTCCTTGCTTTTCACCACTTTTACTTCTTGCCAATACCTTCTACCCTGTAAGGTTTCTTTTGAGAAATCAACTGACAGTCTTATGGGAGCTCCCTTGTAGGTAACTAATTGCTTTTCTCTTGCTGCTTTTAAGATTCTATCTTTGTCTTTAACATTTGGCATTTTAATTATGATGTGTCTTGGTGTGGGCCTCTTTGGGTTTATCTTGTTTGGGACTCTCTGTGCTTCCTGGACTTTTATGTCTATTTCCTTCACCAAGTTTGGGAAATTTTCTGTTATTTTTTCAAATCAGTTTCCAATTTCGTGCTCTTTCTCCCTCCTTCTGGAACCCAAACAATATGAATGTTGGTATGCTTGAAGTTGTCCCTGGGACTCCTTACACTATCACTTTTCTTGATTCTTTTTTCTTCTTATTGTTCTCACTGGGTGTTTTTTGCTTTCTTATATTCTAAATTACTGATCGGATTCTTGGCTTTGTCCACTCTACTGTTGATTCCTGTATCGGGGATGTCCAACCCATGGCCCACAGGCTGCATGCAGCTCAGGATGTCTATGAATGTGGCCCAACACAAAGTCATAAATTTACTTAAAACATTATGAGATTTTGTGTGTATGTGATTATATATCACAATGTGTTTAATTTGTGGCCCAAGACAATTTTTCTTCTTCCAGTGCAGCCCAGAGATGCCAAAAGTTTGGACACCGCTGCGTGCAAATCATTCTTCATTTTAGCTAGTGTGTCCTTCATTTCTGTCTGTTTCTTTTTTATGGTTTCCATGCCCTTTTTTATGCTGTTGAAGTTCTGAGTTCATCTACTCTTCTCCTAAGTTCTTTGAGCATCCTCATTAACCAGTGTTTTCAATTCTTCATCCAATCGATTGCTTGTCCCCATTTTGTTTAGTCCTTTTTCTGGAGTTTTGTTCTGTTCTTTCATTTGGGCCATGTTTTGTCTCCTCATTTTGGCAGCCTCCCTGTGTTTGCTTCTATATATTAGGTAGAGCTGCTATGACTCCCTGTCTTGGCAGCATTTGGCAGCATGAGCTAATGTAGCAAGTGTCATTCAGGGCCCAGAGGCACAGCCTCCTCTATCATCCAAGCTGGGTACTCAAGGTGGGCCCACCAGGTAGGCTATGTACACCCTCTTCTTGTAGCTGAGCCTTGAATGCTGTTGACAGGTCAATGGAAGGGATTTACCCAAGATGATCAGCTTCAAGGACTGGCTGTGACTACTGACCACGAACATCTGACCACCATGGAGGATCAGCTATGCAGGAGCCCACTTCACAGAGCTGGACTTACTTCAACAGAGCTCTGGTACCCACTGAGCCCACACGTTGAATGTGTTGCCTGTGGAGGTGGTTGGGTGGTAGTGCTCTGACATGGTCTGTAGCTGTCTACTGGGTGTGCAGGCTCTGGGATCTCCTTGGAGGTGTAGGCCAAGGTCAGCTACTACCTGTGTTCTGTGTGGGGTTACCTGGCATAAGCTACAAAGCAATCTGCACTAGGCTACTACTTGTGCTGGTCTTGGAGGTGCCCAAGCAAGGCCAAACTGTGAACCAAGGTCAGCTGCTATTAGGGCTGGGCCAGGGGCCACTTAATAAGAAGTACATAGCTCACTGAGGCCAGATGCTGTTTGTTTGAAATAATTTAGGAAAATCTGAAGCATGAGTCAAGACATGTCATTCGTGTGGAAAAACCATGGGAAAGAGCTTGGATGGGCCCAAAACTTTAGTGGGGCAGAGCTTCAGGGAATCACCAGGGTGGGGCAAACAGTATGAGCAAGGTTGATGGAATCTCAGATATGGCGCCTGCCTGTCCATTCTGTAGGGAGAAGGTTCAGAAAAGGGATAATGGCCTCTGCCAGGCTTTCTGTCTAGGAGAAAGCTGCCCCCCAGCTCTCGCCCTGATGCCAGACACTTCAGTTCCTCCCTGTATGCCACTGGTGCCTTTCAAGCTACTGGCCCAGTGCTGGAGCTCAGAGGAAGTGAGTCCAAGTAAGTTTGTGTGCGGACCCTTTAAGAACTGCCTGGGATTCCACAGCCTCAACCTCCATTGGTTTTTACAGCCAGAAGTTATGGGCACTTATTTTCCTGGCACTGGAACCTGGGCTGGAATACTAGTGTAGGCCAGAGACCCCTTGCTCCAGAAATATCCCTCCCAATTTTTATCTGCCACACATGGGTGTGACCCAGCCCGTTCCACATCTCTGCCCCTCCTATCAGTGTCCATGTGGCTTCTTCTTTAATTCCATAGTCATAGGACTTCCATTCAGCTTGATTTCCAGCAGGTCTGAATAATGGTTGCTCTGTACTTTAGCTGTGATTTTGACGTGGTCGTGTGAGCCGTGCTTACCTATGCTACCACCTTGAATGGAAGTTTGTCGTGAATACTTTTCAATGTAAGGATGTCCCAAATCCTGCATGGGGCATACTTATACTAAAAAAATTCATTGTTTACCAGCAATTCCAAAATGAGTTGGGAATCCTATATTTTTATTTGCTAAATTTAGCAGCCCCATGATAATAATGGGATAGCTCTTCCTGAGTGCCCACTACACGCTAGGCCCATGGTTATCCTCACAACGACCTTATGGGGCCAAACAAACAAAAAATCTCACTTTATCAATGAAGAAATCAGGGCTCAGAAAGGTTAAGGCATTTGTCCAAGGTCACACAGCTTGTAAGAAGTGCAAAAAGAATTCAAACCAGGCCAGCTGGTAGCCACTGCTGCAAGGCAATGCCCACATGTGTTAGGAAGCCCTCACCAGCTGGGCACTGGGCTTGGCACTCTCATACAATCACCTCATCTGTCTCTCACTGGACTTGGTGAGGTACTGGCCAATGCCCCCATTTTGCAGATGAGAAAACTGAGACTCTGAGAGACTAAGTTGGCCAGCAACAGGGCCAGTGACATATCCAGCTCTGAAATTCAGTCTCTGATATGGTTCTGTGTTCCATGCCCTTGTCCTCTCTCTGTCTCCCCTCTGGTTGGGGAAATGGCCACAGGTTGATGGCATGATGGGAAAGTAGGTATGATCTGGGGGGTCTTCTCCCTTGTGGCCGTTACCCCCCCAGAATGAAGCAGGAATGCTGGTCCTTGCCCTCGGAGTTTCCCAGCAGGCAGGCAGGGACTCACACAAAGGACACAAGGGTGCCCATCACCCTTCGTGTGAAGTCACCTCTGGGTGTCAATTCCTCCTCTGATTCCCAGCTATGACAGCGTCACCATGAACACCAACCCAACTGAAACTTCTGGTTGTCATTGGTTTAATATTTTGAGTTTACTGACATATAATTTACAGACAGTAAAATTCACCTTTTTTAGTGTACAATGCTATGAATTTTGACAAATTCGTAGAGTTGTATAATCACTACAATAACCAAGATATAAAACATTTCCATCCACCCGGAAAATTCCCTCCAGCCTTTGGCCAGTCAGCACCCACCCCTGCACCGCGCTCCCCCCAACCTCCCCCACCCCCACCCCCGCCACCCCGGCCTCTGTCCAGCAGTTCCTCCTCTTCCAGGCTGCCATGTAACGGCACTCCCTGTGCGCAGCCTTTCTGGTCAGGCTCCTCTCGCTTAGCATGCTGCGTTTGGGATTGAGCCAGGGTGTTGTGTGTCTTCGGGGTTTGTTCTCTTTTCTGGCTTAGAAATATTCCATTGTACAGCTGAATCACTGTTTGTTTGTCCATCCACCAGTTGAAGGGTATCTGAGTTGCTTCCAGTTTCTGATAATTATGAATGAAACTCCTACAAGCCTCTGCATACAGGTTTTGGCAGGGGTGGAAGTTTCCATCTCTCTCGGGCCAATCTGTAACTTGGACGTGCCCCACAGCCCTTCGGAACATCTGAGCCACGCGTGCTCACCGCAGGGTCCACGCAGTGGTCTCCTGTCCTGTCCTGCTCCCACCGGCTGCAGCCCTCAGCCCAGACCTCACCAACCACATGCACCCATCAGGCTCTGCGCCCCATCCACACCCTGCAAAACTCCTCACTCGGAAATC